CTGTATGAATATGATGTTTCAGTCTGCATCACATTTTAATTGAGATTCCACGATTGCCCTGGGTTACATGAATCTGTTTGTTATGTTCCGTCCACTTGTTGCCATGACTACAGTCTGGCTGTCTCACAAATGGCCTAGGAGCACAGTGGGTGGAGCCCTGTACTGGCAATACACAACGAGGAAACAAACAAGTGACATGAAAGAGCCGAGATCAACAATCACATATGCAGTCAACAAGTATCAATATAGACACTGGAATTTAAAAAAAAGTATATTTATGCAGTTTTATTTCACATCGAATTACAGTTTGATCACAAATGACATTGTGCAGACTGCAGATTTAAAAATGTATCTTCCAAATGTATTTTAGACTGAAATATAGAATTAGACTACAGCAGCAGGTTAGATGATGTAATAACTGGAAGGTGTTCATCATTAACGAGAAAAACTCATGCTCAGGTCAAGATGACAAATTACAGTCGAGCTCCCACCAGAAAGTTTCTGTATGTTCAATATTAAACACAAAATGTGTGTTTTCGTCATGTTGCACTACAACTGGGGAGAATGTTCAGAGGATTTAAAACGACAGGTTCATTTTATATTCATCCCTTCAGCTCAGTGGAGATTTCTGACTTGAGTATATTATATGTAAAGATGCGGTAATACATTTACGATGCATTGAATGACTGACTGTAAATAGCAAATGCCCTAAATTTTGTTTCCTGTAGGTGATGTGTATTTTTAGTTATTTCTGTTTGTGATTGTTTCACTTTTGTAACTGAGGGGAATTTCCCCAGAGATGTAAGTTGTTGTTTTGTGAGGTAATTGTTCAAAGAAGACGTTTGCTTGATGTCTAAAATTCATTTGTAGGTATTTTTAGCTCAATAAATATTTGCAGTAGCCATCTTCTCACCAATGGTGATAGTTTTGGTTTAGACAGATGTGGTGTCAATATTAGTAGATTTGAGTAAAACAGGATTGGGGCTAATGAAAAGTGGAGCAGATCTCCAGTTAAGACGAAGCTTTGAAACATGTAACAGAACGAAACAATGAACTTTGTGACCCTGCCCATGAATCTGGCAAACCTCCACAGCTTGGCTTGAACAGGGTTTTTTTTTATCAACAGGATTTTATTTTATCAAAAAGACTTTATTCTCTATGGAAGAATTATTATAGGGGTTTTGTGAAACAAAGATAATTAAAAATTGATTTTAATAAATCCTGTTCAGAACAAGTTTGAACACATTCCGGACTTGTCTTATTCCAAGTTAATTGCCTCAGCAGACCTCAGTGTATCTGGCGCCTAAGTACAAAGACATTGTGGGCTATGGAGTCTATTCATATATCCAATGCAGTGCTACAATGACTAACCATTGTGCTGTTTCAACACAGCTAATATGTTTGGATTGTTTCCCAATTTCTCATAATCTTGGAGACATTCCTTTGTATGAGGGGAAAACCAAGACTATAAAAATATAAAATTGTGTTTCTGTGGCAGGTTTTTTAAAACATAAAATGTGATTTTGAGTATTGTTCTTGATCAGACTCCAGGTATAACAACTTTTATTTGTTCCTACCTTTGAATAATAAAATGTAGCATTTTCCTTTTGTTATATAGGCAACATTTTCCATATGCAACTGGTAAACTCGTGTTGTGTTAATGAAGATGTATCGCCGACCACATTATCACTTAGGCTATTGCTTAGTTTTTGGTTGGACATTGAAAGGCTAACTTATCAAAAAAAAAAATATTGGTGTTTTTTTTTTTACCCAGTGCAAAATGAAGGGTTTTTTTCTTTTTTAAACTGTATATTCAGAATGATTTTGTAAAACAAAAATGAAAAAACATTTTATTTGTTTTATAAATAAAAAAACATGATTTTATTGAACTATTGTTGCTTCGTCTTCATTTAAAAGCATTTTTTTAAACTAACTGGCACATAACCAGTTTATATTCAACATAACACCTTCACCATAGTTTCATTACAAGTCTGGAAATTAATAAACACAAAATATATAATTATGCAGATGAATAGATAAGTAACCATCGTAGGTAAATTCCCTCAGTATTCACCATATAAGGCTAAGGGGCTAAGGTGACTCGTACATGTCTCAGTTCAAATGGCAAAACCGTGCTTTGCTTTGCAACACATTACGACAACGAGCTGTACAATAGCCTCAGTAAATAATGCTTGTACCCAGCTGCCCACCCCTTCTTCCACATAGAGGAATCACAAAAGAACAGAGGGTTTAAAGCACAATGAACTGACGGGCAGGGCCTGCATCTGAGAGCCCTGAAGGCAACCTTTCACTCCGAGTTTCACCTGGAGCGTCCAAATAACGAGCGCACCTTCAGTCAATAACGTGCGGAGGACGACTGAACAGCCACGCGGCCCTGATATTGTCCTTCTCCATGGCGGTCCTACCCCTGCTCAGAAGGCCTTTCTGAAATACATAAGGGTTTTGAATTTGACCTGGAGTGAGTCACAGACCTAAATCCTAGGGAGCTGGGCTTGTAGCTCAAATGTTTTATTAATGCTCAAATTTGTAGTCTCAAATTGTTATTTGTTTGATAAATATCCAACTGAGAATTGATAATGTTTATTGCATATTAGCCACATAAGCTGTTCTGGATAAGTGACTGTCTACTTAATAATAGAAAAAGCAGCAAGGGGCCAGATTTATGAAAGCTTTTAACACACGGTAAAATTGTTGCACATGCGACATCACTGATTTGTGATTGGAGCAAATGTACTGCCTCAACCAATCACGTGCTATCTTAGTCTTTTTGTGCCAGCAAAACAGTTCCTCCCTTTGGCAAACCATTGACCCTAAGACTCACTGGCAGTATCTGCATGGTGCTTCCATCTACTGGCATAAAAAGGTACTGATGAATGAGTAATAAATTAAAGTTTATTTATGTTCCATTGGATCACTTACTCCTAAAATATTTTTTCAAATGATTTAAAATATACACACAATAGACTAAACAATACTTTCTGTTTTTAGAAACACAACTGTCATGTTTTTCTTCACAAATCCTATGTTAATGTCATCATTATCACAAACATACTCTTTCCAAAACAATCATTGTGCAACATATATATCCAACCACACTAAAATACTGCATAATTGATCAACAGTGTAAACTTGTATTAGCACTTTTAATATAATAGATATGGGTATCTATTTTAAAAGGCAGTTTTGGAAAGTAGCACAATTAACCCACAGACACCAAACATATTAAATTAAACCTAACTGGGCAGACAAATCTATACTGCATGGTATACCACCACAAAAATAGACTGCTTTGGAATTAACCTTTCAGCTGCCATGCTAAATAACAGTGGAAAATGTATTTCTACCGTTTATAATTTCACACCAAGACTACACAATGTTCATTAAAACAGCTTGTGCTTTTTGGCACAGTAGGATGGTCTACAAGGGACTTTCCTAAAGATTTCCCAGCATGGATGATTGAGTGTGTCATGTTCCAGAACTTTGAAAGAAAATGAACCTTGGTTGATGGCAGCAAAGGAACGGCTATGGTGGGTGACTCTGTTCTAGAATCAAGTGAGCCATCAAGCTGAAGCAGCAGCTATCCAGGATACATTAACATTTAATGTAAGATATGAAGCTGCTTTATTTGCGAGTAGGCGTGTGTACTCATTGTTAGGGACTTTGAATGACAACCAGAAGCTTATGGGTTCAAATGCTAAACAGAGTTTGGCTTCTTTACCTTGACAAAGTATTTCATATGAATTGCTTCACAATGCATGCTTCAACGTATTTCACAATGGTAAATTATGTAATTTATCCTGGATAAGGGAATAGTCTTTTTTGATGGTATCTTAAAAAAATATCAGTAAATCATTAAGCCATTTTGCAGATGGCCTTAACAAGGACAACTGACAGTAAACGTGATCATGACAAATACAGCACCAGACAAAATATCTGTACATTAAGAACATATTATGCACATTAATATTTATACACAATTATTGCAATTAATATTTAGATAAATTATACAACTGATAAACTAATCGATGCGCAGAACTTTCAAGTGGGAGGAAACTTGGCTTGCTGGAGTAAAAGTAAAGGTCATGACGATATTAAATGGCCAAAGCAAATCTAGTATTACATTGGGATTAATATAGAAATGATATCAAAAGTAGCATGTGCATGTAAAATAATGAGATTTGCAATTTGTCTGTGTGATTTGCACTGCCAGTGAAAATACTCTGAAGTAGCTGTCATTAGGAGACATTAGGAGGTTTTTAACAGGCCATCGTGAAAACCCTAGTATGGTGGCTTCAAGGTCATCCAAAAAAAATTCCCTAAAATTCCTTACTAATTCAGTTCATGGGCACTTGGGATTTCCTGAGACATGTTCTGACCTCAAGTAATAATTATATATTTCTAAACTACACAACAGAACAAGGTCTCCAGAGTCACACCAGTTGGACGTGTATAACCATTACAAAACTGATAACGGTTTAGTACCGCCCACTAGGCAGATTTCACAAGTTTAACATTTTCAAAAAACCAACCTAGGTGCCCTTGAAATGATGAAGGATTAGACTCAGAAAGCATCTTCCTTTTCATAAAACACCAAAAATCTATTGAAAAATTTGTATGAATGTGGGTGGTGATGGTGACAGCGTTAAGGCCCAGGCTGCCCAGATCCGTGGCTCAGGGGGAGAGGCGGTAGTACACCCAGCCCCCCTCCGCCTGGCGCTGCATCTCCCCCAGGCTCTCCCCTCCGTCCTTCGACTTCATGAACACGATGCGGTCGTGCAGCCTGTTGGTCTGGCCCTGCCAGAACTCCATCATGGTGGGCTTTACGATGTAGCCGCCCCTGAGGAAGAAGGGGAGGAGAGCTGACGTTAAATTTTAGCCATTTAGCAGATACTCTTTTCCACAGCGACTTACACAGTTTCAGTAAATACAGCTGGATATTTGTATTGAAGCGGTTTTGGTTTCGCAGTGTGTTAACAGCAGTACCCTTCTGGGAATCGAACCCACCACCCCTGGGCTGGAAGACCAGCTCCTTAACCATTATACTACAAAACACAAGCAGTAAGGGGGGAGGCACAAGAGTCTTTATTATCACTGCAGTCTCACCAGTAATAAGAACTTACCAGTAGTCAGGCATGGGGACTTCAGTCTCTTTGTACCTCTCCTCCAGCTCTGAGTTTTTCTGTCTCAGGTACTGTGAAGGAGCACATTAGTAATGTCAACCCCCCCTTTTCTCTTTCTCTGTAAAATAGCCCAGTCAAGTCTTTAAGGACAGATTCATGACAGTCTAAGGTGCAAAGCACAGGGACATGACAGAGGGACGGAGAAAGAGACCTGTCCTACATCAGAGTCAATGATCCCGCTTATGCGACTGGGATTGTCCTGATGCTTCAACTTTTTCTACTTTACAGGGGCAGTAAACTAGCACAGGACACAAGCCCCTGTCTGATCACATGACACTTACTCTCTCCTCCCTGCTGTAGCTGAGACAGCATTTCTTAACCCAACATTATACCCTATAAACGTTTAAAGGATTTTACCCAGAATGTCCATCCTCAGTAGGCTGGGTCTCACCTGTCTGTCCGGGATGATGGTACTCTGCCGGCTGACCACAGCTCCGATCTGGCTGCTTTTCGGCCTGGAGTGGAAGTAATCACAGGAGCTCTGGTAGGGAATTCGCTCCACTCTGCCCTCGATGCGGACCTACGCAACGCAACATGGAGGGACACCGCTGAACACATCACAGGAAATTGGTCTATTCATTTTTACATGTTTGCTTTCCTTGAGGTCCATATAGGCAGCATGCAATTCATACCTGGAACATGTACTGGATCCAAGATTAATTCGATTGATTTTAATTGAATTATGTATGCATAGTACCATGAAAAATTATGTCTGACTGCCTGAATTTTTGGATATTTTAATACTGAACGCCATTAGATTTTTTTGTATTTAAATTTACTTTACTTTAAAGTACTTCAAATTTTAATAAGTTTAGAAAGTTATGTCACACCCAATTCCCTTTTATGGAAAACCTCTCCCTAACAATACATAACGGACATCACTACAGAAATATAACTCACAATTAATAATTGATTGACCATTTTACATGCAAAATGCTGAATAAATATTTAAGTTATAGTCCTAGAAACCAATGTAAAGTGCAGTCACTGTAAAGTGCAGATACTGAAACTGAATGTTTGAGGACAGAAAGGCTTACCTGTTTGTTTAGTGGCTCCCAGTAAAACACCAGACAGGCAAAAGGGTTGCTCTCCTGCAAGGATCCAGACATAGCCATTCACAAACCATGAACAATAAAACCGGCACACACAGACCATATGGGACAGTGTGCTGTGAGCTGATGTAGCATGGATACTAACTGACTACTTTTTGCTTTAAGTAGTTTTGTGTATGTATGTGAACTGCAAATTACGTGGGCCACACAAATTATTTTTATTTGAAATATTTGTAAATATTGTCTTGGAAAAACAAATTATTTTATTTGAAGTAGTTCTAAATCTGAAATTATTATTTTTAAATAAATCTAAGAAATAAAAATGCTTATATCTGTAAGTATTATTTCTGCAAAATAATTCAAATACACTTATTTGAAAAGCCATGAAGCATTTGGAACACATATTTGGCCCAGGTTTGTGTTGAACGTGGATCACAAGATAAAAAGTTAAAACAACTAACAGAATATACACTTTCAATTTACATTCACATCTGTACAAACAACCCTTAACACTGCACCATGTGTACACTGCACTCAGTGCAGTGAGCATGCAGTTGTCCTCCATATCTTAAATTCTATATCTGAACATACATCCAGCTGAAACTGGATCACAGAAAATTCACCCTTTAAGTAGATGACGGGCTCTGAAATTTGGTAACCAATAAAATAAAATACTCTTTCCAATGAAATAAAAGTCATGTTACACCAAATTCCTTGCATGATTTTTTGAAAACCAGGAAGAGTGACATGTTTCTTAATGCTCCATTACACAGCAATGAGAAAGTGCTGACTATACTCTGATGAAAGATCAAGTTCCATATGGATTTATTCCACATGGCCTCATGAACCTCATAGCCAGGGAAGTGTGACATGGACCACGTAGGCCTTTCAAACCCTGACATAATGCAAGTAAATGTTCCCTACTTGAGCTTCCAATACTCACCAGTCTCTACCTGCAAATCCTACTGAGTTTAAATAAAAAAATAAATCAGGGACCTACTCAGTGCATTCTATTCTGTAGACTTCAAGACACTGTCAGTAATCAAATTGTTTCTTGACTACTAACTGACATTCATGTATATGTGTATGCAAGATACAAACATACATGCAAATGTCAGTCAGTATTCCAGAACAACAGTGGGGTAGACTTGGCCAACTGTAGATTAACTCAGACAGCAGCCAAACTGACGGAACACCCTGTTCATGACCCTGGGTGGAGGGGGTGGCGACTGACCAGTTCTCGGCCCTTGCGGCTCTCGTAGTTGGTGAAGAAGCGGAAGCCCTCGTTACTGAATCCCTTCAGCAGCACCATGCGAGCGGAGGGAAGGCCGTCCCTGTGGAGACAAACACAGAGGTGAGGGACAATAGCCGCTTCTGTGTAGTTACAGTGTATTGGTCTTATTGGACCAGGAGAAATTCCATCCACCAATTCATCATGGTTTACAGTGACATACCCAATTCCTTTACAGCACTGAGACATTTACTCCGTTTACTGTTTCCTACAGAAATATCCACAGTTACCACTGATGCTAGATTTTGGTAAATGCTAACAACTAACCTCCACTGTCTTCACGTGAACACACAGAATACATACAGCTTTACATATGAGGTGTGGCTATTAAATAACGATACTGGACTTATCCAAGTCGAACCACAGCACGCATGCACGTGGTATACATTGACCAATAGGCAGGCATAAACGACCCCTGAAAGTTTCGAGCCGCTCGCGTCTTCAGTTCGCCGTTACACATTGCTTGAAGTAGACGTGTTTTTCTGACGTGTCATACAAATGGTCAGTTCAAAAATCGAGCGACGCATCAATCTGAAATTTTTGGTGAAATCTAATAAAATAGCTACTGCATCTTTTGTTTTCCTCATTAAAATTGAATTATAGCATTAGTCTCATTACATTAGTCATTTAGCTGATGCCTTTATCCAAGTACAGTTTATTGGGCTAGCCAAGGGCCAATCCCCCCTGGGAGCAATGTGGGGTTTGGGGTCTTGCTCAGGGGCCCAACAGCAGTGGTGTTCTTGCTGTGGCTGGACTGGGGCTTGAGCCACCAGCCTCAGGGGTCCCAGTCATGTACCTTAGCCACTGGACTACAGGCTGCCCCCAATTCAATAATAGTCTTATTATTTAATAACCACATCTTGAATATGAGGAAGATATCTGGAGTGGCAGAGAAAAGTGCTGTTGCCTTCCCTCCGTTGCCTCTGACTGCATACTTTCTTTAGTAATCTTAGATATCTTGCATGACTACAACAGACCTAAAACCGCAGACTACACTGGTGTATCTGATATTAAAATGGATACCAAGGCAGGTAAAGATAAAGTGCCTTCTTCACACCATGTTCCACTCATACAACGAGCGTGCTACCTACCTAACCAGCTAACTGTACTTCAGGTGCACCAATATCACAAACAAGCTGGATAGCCTCAAAACAGTGCCAAGTTACTATACATGAATGATGTAGGAAACATAGGCTCTCTGACGTTTACTGATAAACTTGTTTTTTGTAACTTTTTAAAATATCGGTAATGTAGTATTCAGATAAATTTTAGAAACTGTACATTGAATGTACTTTGTATACTTCGTGCTTTTAATCCTTTATAGATGCAAACAACCTGATCTCTTTACATTGAAAATGTTACAAAATGTTTTTTGTTGAGATACATTAATACCATGCTCCATATCAGCAATTTTAGTGAATATAAATTATTTTTAAAAAATAAATGAATAGGTTTGCCAGGGTACTCGGTTTAGACGTTTATTCAATAATGTGACATAACAGGCCTGCAGCACACTGTTCCCATAAAAACCCAGCGACACTCTCAGCAAGGTGGAGAAACCATACTTACTTTGTGCATGTGGCGATACACATGGCATTGGCCTCCCCTACTTCAGGGCACTTTGTTGCTTCTTCAAACCATTCGCCAAATTGCTTTATGGGATCCAGAGACACTAACTGGTCCTCCTCAAAGCACTGCAACAGACAGAAACAAACTGACCAATCAGATTTTGCCTTCTGGGCCATTGACACTACACAGCTGTTACCAAACTACATCTTATGTCACACACTTGTGAAATATGGTGCATCTGAAAGCAAGAGTAACCAAAAAGATCACTTTCAGGTGAAATCTTCAGGTTTTTATTCATTTTGGACAGAGTAGTGGCAATATATACATTTGTATTATCAGCTGATTGACTGACTTGACTGTCACAAAATTGACAGAATCACAAATGACTCAATCTAGCAACTGATGACAGGCAAGCCTTTGCTTTTTAAATAAAAATAAAGTTAAGCCTATGAAACATTAGGATGTGGATGCAGCTGCCTCCAGTTTGCAGATTAATGCAGTTCACTTATAAAAGTTTTGCTGCAGTGATCCCACGCTTACAAACACCTGCAATTTTTGATGGCAAGTGTCACAGCCAATGCATGTCAGTAACTCAGGTGAATTCGACCCCTGAACACCTCATCAATGACTAAACCTCCGACACATTTCTTCAGTCTCCTCACACAAAAACATCTCAAGGACATTGGATTTTGGTCTACATTTTAAATGTGTCATGAACCCTTATTTGCAAATTTCGACCAAACTTTAAATTACACATGATGCATAGTTTTCGGCACCATAATAATATGGTTGGTAATTCAGCTCAGTTAAATATCACAGTAGCTGCACTTTCCAATAATGTACTGCTGGTTTTGGGGGGAAACTGACAGCATTGCACGTGTGGGCAGCCGGGGTATCCTTGACGATTATATGCGTCCGTAGTGAAGCTTATGCAATTCCACATTTTCTTCATTTCATAAC